CTATTCACAATTGGTGGGTTTGGTTGGTTAGCAAGTTTGTTGTAGGTTATGTTGCAATTAGGTGTCATGTCTTGAAAAGATATTGTAAAACTACCTAAGTCATTTCAAAAAAGTGTGGAAATTAATCATCTTGAATAATATGTAGGTGGTTTTGTTTGAGATTTATTAGATAACTGAACATGAATGTTATGAAGCCATCGGATGATTCCTTTATGGAACAATCCATAACTTTATCTATTTTTTTTTCGGTACAAAGAAGGAGGCCGAAGGCCTAAAGAACGTCTAGGTTCAGAGTTCGGCGGGGATAAGAAACCCCGATTAGGTCATGATGTAGCCACTCTCCCAACCCGGTGGGAGGGGAGAATAATCTATTGACACGTGTCTATTGTGTATTTATTGTACGACACGTATCATTGCACCATTTGTGAATGACTATGGATAGTTCCATAAGACGAGTCATCCGATGGCTCCTAGCAAAATCGGATAACAGAAATGATAAACAAATCACCTTGAATAATATGTAGACTTATAACGAGATGACACTTTCTTGGGGGCATATTAGGTATTTTAATCATTTTTTATTTACATGAAAAAAAAAAGTATTTTTATGTTGAATGGGAAGGAATTACCCCTACACACACACACACACAAAAAAAAAATATTGATTCACATTTAGAGCATCTGGCTCTTCTATTCTTCTTTTCTATTGCCACATGGCACAAATAATCAAATGTGGCATGGTAAATGTCTAGAAAGACTTCTAGATGTAGAAGTCATTCTAAACAACTTCCACAATATATTATATTATTTATTTAATTTATCTTTTTTTTTTCAACCAATTACAATTTTACACATCACAATTTATACCACAATTAATGCTTACCATTGGAGATACATTTTTTTTAATTTCCTGTCTTCATGCTATTCAACACAAAATGGACAATGTTCCATTGGAGATGCTCTTAGGAACAAGATGGCCTGGAAAGTAAGTGCAAATTGGAGACAAATAATTATGAGCTTCAAAAGATCGAGTTAAAAAATGTGTAAAGACAAAATAACTTTAGTTTTATAGCGTTCAAGGGACGAAGACCCAATCTTGACCACGGACATGTTCACACACCTTTTCTTTAAACAATGTTCCTTTCACACGGGCGGTTGGGTGCAAATAATTGCATAAATTTTTTTAATATTTATTTTATATCAAATTTAATTCAATTTTATTCTAACTTAATTTCTCTACTTTTCATTAGAATAATTAGTAGAAAATTCTAATCATTTTAATTTAACTTAATTCTCCTATTTTTTTTTATCAGTATAATTTGTACATAGCTCGTGCATGGGTATAAAAATATATCATATGAACAAAGTAATTAAGAATTATAAAAGTACTGGTTTTTCTAGAATATTTTCTTGTTAGACAATCAAAATAAATTTGATGGGAGATTTTTATTTATATACTTGTAAATTAATTAAGTTCGTAGTATTTATTATTAACAATATATATGGTACATATATATACACATATCAATTACAATATGTATTATTGAGTTCTTATAGTGTATTGATTACACAATATTATATATATATATATATATATATTTATCATATATGTGACTTTCATTGATTAGTTGGATCATATATCATAAGTAGTTTTGGATTATATATCATAACATTAGGAAAATGCTACGGTCCCGTTACGGAACATTTTGTCGGAGTTTGTAACCGTTAGATCATCATGTAACCGTCGAATATAATTGATCTAACGGTTACGAACTCTCACGGAATGGTTCTGTAATGGGACCGTAGCATCTCCCATTAATTAGTTTTGTTTCTCTTGGAGTCATTAGGATGTGATTGGATATAAAAATACAATAAAAAAAATCAATTGTTTATCACCACTCACTTTTTCAAATCTAACTCATTTAGAGCATGTTTGTTTATGAAATTTTTTGAGTTTGTTTGGATTTTTTGGCTTGGTTTGGTCAATTTTGAAAAGGTGGTATGGTTAGTTGTTAGTGGATTTATTAAAATAATATTTAAAATAAAATGATTAAAATTAAAATGATGTAAACGTAGGAGAGAGAATATGTGATGTGATGGTTAGTTAAAATTATGTGAGTAGATGAATAGTGAATTAAAGTTGATGTGGTGTGTATGAATGATTGATTGATATTATTTAATTATATTGATAATATTGATGATAGTGGTGTTGAGTTAAAGTTGAGTTAAAAAAAGTGATTAAGTTAAAATGTTAGAAATTTTTTGAAATTTTTTATAAACAAACATACTCTTATTGATTTCATACTTTACATTAAATCAGTTTAATTATTTTATTTTAATAATTGTATTATTACAAATTCAAAATATTACTCAAACTTAAATCAACAAACTTTTGTAAAATATTTACTGTAGTTAACCAAATAAACAAATCAAAACTAAAATATCCAATTACAATATCCAGTACTCTAACTTCTATTTTTTTTTTATTATTTTATCTCATTATGAGTTCGGACAGTATTTTATTTTACATTTGCAGTGAAATATGTGATCTCCTAAAGAAATACCGCCACATCTTCCTAAGACGTGCCATAATCACTGTTCTAAAAATCGGGCGCCTAACGACTTTTAGAACACGGTCATAATTGAGAAAAATAATTTTTTGACACAAGAATCACATGTTACTGACATTAATTGTTCACGTGGATTTTTCTTATCCCATGTTTACTGTCTCCTGAGAATTAAGGAAAATAGAAATAACAAAAATAATGACTGCAATATTCAGACAAATGTCGAAGCTATACCAAACAAAACCGTGTGGATCCTCCTCGTCAAAGGTTCTGGACCAAAAAATAAATAAATCAATAATGTATATATTTTTTAATATATATATTGTTATATAATATAGATGTGAAGTTCTGGAAAAAATATACTCCATCATGTTTATAATATGTGTCGTTTCGAGAAATTGCACAATTAGAATATTTTTTTTTTGTCAATAATATCTCTCTTTAATTAAAATTAATAACCTGAAAATTAAGAGTAGATATGAAAATATAATGAAAAAATAAGTACAAAAGATTCAAAATGTCATTTACTTGGTTAATAATTGATAAAACCAAAATGACATTTAAAAGGAATAGAAGGGAATACATGTTAAAATATAATGTACATATATTTTATAAATATGTAGTTTAATTCTTCAGTTAATGAAAATAATAATAATAATTATTATTATTATTATTATAATACTATTTATTATTATATTAAATTATTCAATTTGTTTTGATATATATCTCAACCTTCATGTGTCACAAATGGCGTTATATATTCTAATGGCGTTATATATTCTAATAGTGATGAATTAATATTTAAGGTCTATAAACGATTCCACAAATCACAAATGGCGTTATATATTCTAATATGCTGCATCACTTGCTTGAGGGTTCATTCATACGAAGCCGAAGCCAACGTAGACCGAGTAACGAGTACGTCATCACAGGACCTACGTAGGCCTTTCAGTGGTTCTTCATACGAAGCCCAAGCCCACATAGGTCGGGTAACGGGTACGTCGTCGCAGGACCTACGTAGGCTCGACTCTGATACCTTGTAATTGGAAATGGAGGAAACAGGTGCAGTCTCATGCACGTGAAGCACACCATAACAAGGTGAGCCTAGTTGCATTATAGTAAAAGTTTCATACCAAAATCAATTGGTAGCAGGAGAAGTAGTCTAATAGATTTATAAATTAGATTTATTTTACCTATATAAACGA